GGTTTAAAATAGACCCACCTTTTAAGTTTATATGCCCATCTCTCCGCCTGATGTTTGTCCAAGTATGTTTAACTTACAGGTCGCAATTTTTGAGGTATTTTGATAGATTTCGAAACACTGGCCAAAAGACGAACGCCATTAAAAATTATTCAGATCGGTCCACTTTTAAGACTGCTCCCCTTACACCGCCTTCGTTTGAAAATTGTAAATTTCAAAATATTTCGACAAATCTCGCTGTGTAATAGTATTTTGACATTCTAAACCGGTATAAAAAATAGGGCAATTTTTTGAACCCCATCCCAAATAATCGTTTCTAGGAAAACTGAATCTTTATATGGCAAAAAAGTATAATTTTTAACATTTCATGATGAAAGTTACCTGATAACACTAAATTGACAAGGAGTCAATCTTACCGAAATTGGGCCACGGAGGTGTACTTTTTGGATACCACCGCAACGAAGGATTCCCAGAAAATTTAACCTTTTATATGTTAAATGTTAATATTTTATGATGAAAATTTGTTCATGGTTGTAATTTGACATAATAGTTAAGTGGATCAAATTCAAGCCGCATGGGTCTATTTCTTGGATCCCACCCCTTGTAAAAATTTCTCATGAACCGTAACCGTTTCAAAAAAACAAATTGAATTTTTAATATTTTATGATGAAAATTGGTGCATGATAGTAATTTACCACAAAAGTTAATAGCAGCGCATCGGATCATATAGGCCTATTTTTTAGGCAAAAACGTTTATAGGGGTTATAGTGAAATGCAAGCTCTTTTATGGAGAGAAAGCCTACTTTCAAGTTTTTTATGACGATGTAATAAAATTTTTAGGAAACATCTTTCAAAACACATGCGTTTGCATGAAAATGATGTATAGTTTTTGATGTACTATTGCTAAAATGAGTGAGTAAATGCACTAGGCAAAGTGATGTGGGGTATCTAATTGTCGATCTTCCCCGGCTATATTCTTGTTTTGCCTCTTGAAATAAGCAAAAATTTATCTTTTAGGGTGATTTCTAAAAGTTATTAGATATTTGCAAAAGTTCTGATCATTTTTTTAACTTAAAAAGGCATTTATTGAGATAAATTGGTACAACGCGTATTAATCAAAATATTTTCTATAATTTTTAACAATATTTGTGACGACATGACGATATCATGACGAAGGAGCTTATATTGGTTCGGCAGCATTCTAAACAAGCTAGGCTGCACCGATCTGAACAAGTGGTAATCAGTAGCCGTCATCCGTAGTAAGTGTGCTGGGCGTGGCAGAACTAACAATTCGACAATTGTGCAACAAGTTGAAATCAAAACCGATGATGGAGCAGCATCGCCGTAAGCCTCTGCACGTGTATGGTGAGCTTCGCCAACAGGTTACACAACAAAAGTACTGAATTTGGAAGAAGAATTTTGAGCGGTCCGTGCTTAGAGTCGGCGTACGCTAAATAAGTCAACAATATTAAATGAGAACTTGTTGTTTGGAAGGTTGTTATAGAGGAAGGACAAAACCATCGATTTCAACCTCTATGTACACTGGTATTTTCCATTTATTTATCATTTTCTCCGGTACAAACCGCTGATCAAAATTTTTGCAAACACCTAATAATATATTTTCTTAACGAGAGTCGTTTCAGTTGATAGATCATTATACCACTTCGTATGGCTGAATGCAGCACTACGGTCTTAAAATAGACGAAATTTTTGTTACATTGATTTAAGCTTGTGTCTTCGATGTCCGTCCATGTTTTTTTGTGCTTAAGCTGCAGCTAGCAAATTTTTGTGAAAGTGTTTTGAAATTTAATACATGTCGCATACATACATACATTTGATGACCGGCCTTTCCCGACCGCAATGATTTCTTGCTTGATTTTCGTAATCCCAACGTTCATAGCAATTTTTAAATTCTCTGCAGTTTTTAAGTTGTTGATGAACACGTTTGCAAGTTCCGTCAGTTATATCCGACTTTTTAATTAAAAGCTGAAAATTTGTTTAGACGCTAGTTTAATGAAGTTTAGACAACATGGTAAGGGTATAATGAACATTTATTAGTCATCCTTTAGGTGTGAATGCGAGGTTTTTTTTATTAACGGTTGTTAATTCACGGCACTAGGGATAATTGCAGAAAACAATATTGTTACTATATGCTTCTAACGTCTTGCCTCCATAAATTTTATTTAAGGAATTATTATTCATATGTTGATCGAATGTTTTTGGACCTTGTTTTTTGTTAAGGATCGTCGCAATAACTTGACCGCTTGAGCGGGATGAAACTGATGCTGCTCTATTAGAATTAGAACAGGTTTACGCGAACAAAGCGAACGACAATAGAACGCCATTCAATGTTTAATTTTTATTTCTTTGTAAAGAACTTTATGTAAAATACAATACAATACAATGTTATAATTATTATGTATGTATGCAATAATGTATCATATAATTATGTGTAAGTAGAATGAATATATATATTTTAATATATATATATATATATATAAATTTATACTCCTTTTAGTATAACCATTGCTGTTACTTAAACTACGTTCTCTTCTGTATGTAAATTGTTGTTCGCACGTGCACGCGCGGGTATCTGGATGTTTATAAACGCTCGTAGGCCATCCTTACGGTTCATTTGATTTCCTTCCTTCCATCTTCTACCTTTTCTCGAATCAGCGAATTCATTTTGAGGAAAAAGTTAAAATATTAAATATGAGCAATATTAAATATTTTAACTTTTTTTCTTCTCCATCTATCTTCTCATAGACGGATTCAATGACATATAGGGCCCATAAGTATACATTGTATTTTGCTGAGCGGCTCTCTGTATAGCACAAGCGTCCTGATATTGAGATTGCATATTCACTACACCCATTTGCATCGGTATTTGCGAATTGGGATAATCACTGCTCGTGGTATAGCCAGTCGATGCTCCTTGCATGCGATAACTGTTAATGCTATAAGGAGCCATTAAATTGGGCGTTATGTGCACGTTAGTCGGACGACTGGTATTGGGCGAAGAGGCCGACGGTGACGAAGAAATATGTTGTATGGGTGCTGAAGCAGTATTACGCACCGAACGACTTATGCTTTGCGATGTTGTTGTTATGGGCGCAATATTACCCGAATAATATTTATGATATTGTAATGAAGCCATCTGCGATTGGAGCATATTTGGTGAAGTGTTTAAATTGCGATTTTGTTGCACGATCAAATGGGGAGGTGGTGTCATGGAGTTATTGGTCAGCCCATGCTGGGGTGGAGGCGTCATATCCACTTGACCAATAGGCGATGTATTACAAGGTGCTATTTCCAAACCGTTGGTTAGCTGTTGCAACCGAGATAAACTACTTAAATTGCCAACAACAGCTGGCGAGCCTGCTTGAGCGCTTGGCAATGATTCGGCTCTAGGGGCTTGATGTTGCGATAATTGGTCGTTTGTTGAACTGGCAGCTGTTGATGACCCACTTGATGGTAACGAAATAGGTACGCGAGCCGCGTTGTTCAACTCATTTGATGTTAAATTATTTTGCAAATAGAAATTATTGACGACAGCACAGGAAGGTGAAGGTTGCTCGACTCGTACTGTACCGCCTGTGCCATGTGAATTTATTGAATTATTTAGATTCATGCGTTGCTGTATAACCGCTGGCATTGATGAAATATCGTAAGAATTTGACGTATTGGTTGGATAATTTTGGCCTAAATGGGATATGTAAATATTGTCGGAGCTCTGCATATTCTGATGGTGCGCATGCGCATTCAATTGGGCAAATTGTATGTTATGTAACTGCTCTTGTTGGCTTTGCTGCTGTTCGGCATTTGATTGATTAGCATGATTGGCCAGCGCCTGTTGTTGCTGTTGTTGGGACAAATTATTATTTAAAGTTTGTTGCTGCTGCTGCTGCTGTTGTTGTTGTTGTTGTTGCTGCTGCTGTTGTTGCTGCTGTTGCTGTTTCGACTGCCTATGAGAATTGGCCGATGAAGCATTACGCATTAATTTTGGTGTAGAAGATCTTTGAACTGATCCTGTAGCACTAGCGCTATTTTCATTCTGCAAATAAAAGAAATTTGTAATAACAACTCATTGAGTAATTGGAAAGTAAAATAACACAAATTTCTAAAAATCTAAAGAAATGAACGAAAATGTATTATTTTAACACTAATTGAAATAATTACATTATATTCTTTACGCTGATATGATACACAACTACATAACTTTATGTAAGTATATATCAAAAGGAATACTGCTCACTAATTCAGTAGCTATACAATCAGGTTAAATTAGCTCGCGACTAATGTCTAATTGAACTTTCAACAAACGAATCCGCGAATTGCTTATTGACATCAGACCAAACTCAAAAATAAAACCGGTTAAAACTTAATGTTTCATTGGTAAGCAAAATAAACTATGATAAAATAAATTTTTTAAAAAATTTTTTACGTAAAAAACAACAATATAACCAATGAAGGTAACAGGAGCCTCGTGCGTTCGGAGAGAAGCGAGAATTCTGGAAATGATGTCTGTTGTAGAATCACCAAAGGGTTTGTTCATTTTCAATAAAGGACATTTGGAAAAGATATGACCGAAGGAAAGGGAGATATTACCAGAAACAGATTTTAGAGGTTCACTTTACGCAAAATAATATTTAGTATTGAATATTGAGGAGGAGTATTAAGGTCTTATTCAAGGCGAGCTAGGAAAATCCATCCAGATCGGGTAAAGAGATTATTGTAGTCTGGCCTGTTAATAGTAAGAGGATTGATGCCTGGTTTATCCTTAATTTATTATCCTGTAATTATTTGCTTATCTTTATTAAAATTCACAGTTTATTATCTGCTGAGTTAAGCATATAAACCCTGCGCTTGCACTTTATACAGAATTTTATTATTAAACGGAACTAATTCAATGCGTTTTTCAATGCACTCTTTCTGTAATCCTGCAATCCAAAGACGAACTAAGAGAACAAACATGGGACGGTACAAATTCACTTGCACCAAACGCCCAGTTTGAAGCGCAAGCAACGAAAACATATTTTAAAATTTTGAATTCGAATAATGTAATTAAAGCCTGGTGGTCTACTTAGGACTAAAACATAATTTCGCTCGTGTTTGTTTCTCTTCTTACCTGATTTATTTTACGATTTTGTTGTTGCTGCGAACTGTGTTGATTACTTGCCATATTATTTAGTGTCTGTCCCTGATTAATATTCATACTACTTTGCTGTTGTTGTTGTTGCTGCTGCTGCTGCTGTTGAATATGCGGGGTATGTATGGCCATATGCATCGGCGTATTGTTGGTTTGATTCTGTAAAGAACAATTGGAGAATTGTTGGGGCTGCTGTTGTTGCTGCATATGAACTGTCGTGTTAGCGGCTACCACATCGGAAGAGTTTTGCGTTATGTCGCTTGCAATACTGGCTGGGGAATCCATGCCCATCGGAACACTTAGGCCGCACTCATAATGATGCATATTGTTATTGCTATTGTTATTGTTATTTGCTGATGAGCTTTCATTATTATTATTACTATAAACCATAGGTGATGTCATTTCAGGCGTAACAGTAGTCGTTGCAGCTTGTTGTTGAGAAGGATTTTGTGTATTATTCGAGGATTTCATTTTATTATCATCACTCGTATTCGATGCTGACGACGTTCCCGTGGAATTATTTGCATTGTTTTGATTGATATTTTGATCGTTCTTCGATTTTTGACAAGCTGCCTGCTGTTGCTGTTGTAAAGATGTTAACACACCAGCTGCTGCTGCCGCGGCCGCAGCTGCGGCAACGTGCTGAGCCCCATGATATTTGCTCGACGAAGTCTGCTGATTGGTCATTGATCTATTCTTTTGCCCGCTATTATTATTGTTGTTGTTAGTACTTTGATTGCCGTATAATGGATTTTGGCCGGTATTATAACTGCACGACGACGATGATGTCTCATCACGCATCTGTAATTCACTGCTGCCAGTGGCGCTATTATTGTTCAGATTTTTCATCGTTTCTTCTTTTTTTAGTGGACTTGTTTTACGTTCTGCTTTCAATTTTTCTTTACTATGATGATGTTGTTGCTGTTGCTGGTGCTGCTGTTGATGTTGTTGTTGCTGATGCTGCTGTTGAATATGATGAGCTTGCATAGCTAAATTAGCCGATTGATATAAATTATGATGATTGTAAATATTATGAAATTTATTTGAATTTTTCTGTGCTGCAGCGTCCAAGTGTGAAAGATTATAACTGTAATAATCCCATTGCCAATATTGCGATGTGGGATAATTGGGCAACTGATTAATCTGAAATTGCGGAGCTATTTTATTTAAATCAATTTGATTGGTTATATGCTCGGCAGGTTTGAAATGCAATTTTTCATGGGCGGCAGCCGCTGCGGCAGACGAAGTCATGGTTTGCAGCATGCGATCTTCTTCTTTGATTTGCAAGGAACCATGAAAAGCTTTTAATGCCTGCGTTTGGGCCATTAACATATTCTGTCCTTGTTTCTCGCGTGTCGATAGGCCGTGTAGAGATTTTTGATTTTTCAATTCAGAGGTGGACTTGGAAGGCTCCGATTTGTCCTTTGACTTTTGCGATTTAGTCTGTTTGGTATCATGGACGGATTTTTCCGGATTCATATTTAAACCAATGCTTCCAACATTTCCATTACCACTACTCAAGGAAGAAGAAGAAGACAGAGGAGTGCAAGTCTTTTCTGAAGTGGTCTCATTAGACGACTTTTCAGTTTTGCATTTCACATACTTTTCAGTTGAAGTTTTCGGATTAACAGATGTTGAACTATTTTGATGATGATGATGAGAATGGTGGTGGTGATGGTGCAGCTGCTGTTGTTGATGTTGATGATGGTTTGATGACTGATGCGGCTGCTGCTGAGTTGTTTGCTGATTTTGTTGTTGAACACCTGTGGGTTGCTGCTGTTGCTGCTGCTGTTTATTCAGTTGCGCTTGTATAACAGCTTCGCTAATTATTGGCTTAGTTTCAATGGGACCGGCAGCAGTTGCTGCAGTGATCACTTTGGTGGGACTTTTTGTAATGGTCGAACTTTCCTTTTTGGTTAACTGAGGTTCTACTTTTGGTATAGTGATTTGTGGAGGCTCAACCTTGTTTTGATTACTAACAACGCCTG